ATTTACACATTTTAAAAACAAAGCAGCACCAGAAAACAAACTCCCTCCACAGGCCAAACATAGTGAGGGTAGACAAAGGTGCTAGTCTTGAACCCTGAGCAGGAGTAGCTGCAGAAGCAAGGAAGCTATTAAGAGAAAAATGAAAAACGAATGATAAGATCAAAAGAGTAATTTTATGGTCAATGAGATGTTTAGGCCATGGCAGTGTCACGCTGGGATCGCCTACCAAAGACAATTGATTTGGGAACTCGTCTCAGATTTACCTGCTGCCCAGAAGCTTCCTGCAGAACAGCTAGTAAGAAGACCCTCATTGTCAGCCAGGGAAGGTAAAAAGGCAAAAACCTCTTGTCTGTATCATAAATTCAAATTTTTGCATTTGAAGGCTTCTCAACTTAACATCTGCTCATGAATGCAAAAGTGGCAGCCGTTATTGAGGTCACCTGGCAATGCAGGCAGACCAGCTTGGAGAAAGGCAGGCAGACATACGGTGGCCTATTAGGAGCCAAGACATCTCAGGAAGGTGGTGGGGCCAAAACACAAAGTCCAAGTGAAGAACTGTCCTTGCCATTGGCTGAGAAGCCCCAAAGTGAAGCTGGCTTTCAGGGCAGTATAAAGGGCCACCAAGAGAACAGCATGCCACTAATTTCTTTCTGGAACAGGAAAGACACACAATTGTGCCTATAGTCTTGTGTGGGAACCTGGACTGGAATTTCACAGTGACCATGTTGTATTTCATTCTGCCTAGCTTATAGCAGTCCGTCACATAGTAGCTGATTCAAATGCTTGAAGAAATTAACTGAATTACTGAAATCACCTCCCCCACTGATGTGCAATACTTTACTACAAAGGGCCAGAACCAGCTTGTCTTCATGCAGAGGAATGTTTCAGGGCTACTGAAAACCAAACTAAGTATAAGGAGCCAGCTAGGCCACCTCTACTGTGATAAGCAAAGTCTGCTAAATTATGAATCAATTTTAGAAGATGCTTTCTGACATGTTCATAAGGCTTTGAAGAGTCTTATAATTTCTACCTTGTATAGTGAACCTATCCCTTGTTCTCTGACCTTCATCAGCAGACTAACCTGAAAGGCATAAAAAAGTTCTGGTTCTTCAGGAGAATGTACTCAGCACTATCTGCTCTAATAGAGAAAGATCACTCTAAGTAGTAAGTTCTTTAGGAAACCACCAGCAGGCAAAGATGTCTGCAGAGCTGAACTGTTTTAGTGAAATCTGAAAAAACGTCACGCTGGTGGGAGGCATTTTAGGACAAAGACGATCTATAGGCAATATGGGACAAACCCTTCTGCCATTTTGCCTTTGAAAAAAATTAAATGGCTATGTCAATGTTTTGCCATGAGTTTAAATGCTGGGGTTCTTATGAAAAACAAAGCGGCTTTCCAGAAATTTCTTTGCTCCAGGAAGCCTTTCTTCTATCAATTTCTTGGGTTGGCACCAAATCTGTGCCAGAATTTCATCACCACGTAGGACTGCAATGCCTGGAGTTTCACTGTACCTTCTTAGACAGTTTCAGGGTGGTGACTGGGTCAAAGGCAATGTCCCCACTGACTGGCACCAAACTCTGGGAGTATGACTGGCTAAAACCAACCACAGGGGCCCGGGACACCCTCTCACTGTGGAGGAAGGTTACCGAAGTAAGGCTCAACCCATGAAGTTGTCAGACCTGGCTCTGAGATTGTGACAGTTACACAAAGAAAGGAAAGTCTGCAGTTTGAGCAATTTGAGCATGAGCATTCCTCTGCCTGTAATGCCCGCATGACATCTTCATCTGGCTGGAACCTTCTCACCACGCAGGTCTCCGCTTAGACGCCACCTCCTCACGAAGGCTTTCCCTGACTTGCCATTCTAAAGCAGCACTCCTCTCCCCAACACATCGCTTTCACTTTTAAAATTTTTATTTTGGTTTCTTTTTTGCACTTGTCTTCTTTAGTTATTTGTTTACATATTTATTTTTGCCCACTCCCCCACCCCCTGCCCCACCATATTAGAGGCATGTCCGTGAGAAGCAAGCCTCAGTCTGTCTTATGCATTACCATATTTCCAGCCCTAGAATAAGCCTGGCATGGAGTAGATGCTCAGTAAATGTGCTGAGTGTTTACCAAGAGAGCTGTTAAGAACAGCATTTCCCTCGGAAAGGAGCTATTAGAATGAACGACATGGTGCGAGGAACTCAAAGCCTTAGTATGATTTAGTACTAAAGAGAAAGGTGCTAGCTCTTTCTTTAGATCCTTCTCACATATCAACCAGCGAAGAGGCTCTAAGTCATGGTCTGGCTACTAGTCCATTTACAGGGGATCCACAAAAATGGTTGGGTTAGATCAATATCACTCTGGTAGCAAGAGATGCAATCTCCATATTCCCCCTGAGTTAAAGCTTAGAAAAACATTTCCCATTCTCCAAAGAAAAAAAAGAGTTGAGGATTTTAAACTGCAAATCATTCAAGCAGAAAACCACACATTTGCCTGTTTTGTTTTGGTGAGAGCAAAACAGTTGTTGGCCACATTCTTCCTGTGGCACCTGCTCTGGCCTGCCCAGTATAAACACCTGAGCCAAAAAGTGCAAATGGTTAAGCATAGTCTTTTAAACAATGAGAAGATGTAAGTTCCATCCTGGGCAGGAAACATTTTCAGCTAAACTAGAAAATCCAATAATAATTGTAAATGGGTAAGTTTAGAAAAGCTTTGTGCCTTGTAAAAACATTGCCTTGAAATATGAAGGCAAATTGTTAAGGCGGAACACAACTAAGTAATAAATAATAATTATTCTTTCATCTACTGGACTATTCATTAGAATTACAGTGGTACAATGTACTTCTCAAAAATCTTATTTGGCTTTCTATCTCCTTGAATTGTATTTAAAATTCTTTTAGGAGAGACTAAGAGTAACATCAATGAATAATGCCACACACACAAAAAATCATTAGGTATGAAAATCTATCTACAAGATGATGCAACCACGCTTCAGTTAAAAACAAAAGGATTGGCATTTCATAAAGAAGAAACACACTTTTGAATCCATTGGGCATTCATTTCTGTGGTAAAACAATTGCATTGCATCGACCTAATCTTGTAATTAAGATTCAAATGGGTTCAAAATGATTAATTTGTACTAGCCTATCAAAATAGAAGACATCGTAGTTGTAATCTTTCTGAATAGCAATAGCGTTTTAATTACAAATGCCTGGCTTATTATTTGCTCAAGAGTGAATGACAATTAGCTTGATCCTACTGCAACTGTTAATGCTACTGGTACTAAAATAAATAGACAATACTGAATCAGGTTTCTGACATTTCCCTTCGGTTTACGATCTTCTGATGGATACTACATTCAAAATGTACTTAGTCATTTTAAGTCACAGGCAAGAAAGAAAATGGCTTCCGAACAGCCACAAAAAAAAAAGGTGTTGCAGGAATGATATTTCATGGCAAGCCCGGAGGAGAACGAAATCACTATGAGATGAATCATGTTCTAATGTAATTGAGCCAGAGAAAGACTCCAAGCAAAATATTTTAGTTGGCCTCAAAACAATAATACAACAACAACAACATCAACATTTTAGCCCATAAGAGGTTTGATTTTACAGATAGTGCTGTAAAATACTGGATACACTGCTAGAATAAAAGCAACTATTTACACAGACGGTTTTGGATCTCAATGTTCTTCACATCGGATCAAACCTTGGGGAGGTTTCAGGTTTGGCAACATCTTCCTCCTAACACACCTACAAAGACGTTTCCACAAAGGCTTGACGTGCACTTGTCATTGGTGGGTAGGCTGGGGCTTGGGTCCTTCTCCATTGAGAGCTCTGAAGTTACCAATGGAGGGATCAGGGAAAGCAAGGGCATAAGCATTTTCTGACTCTCAGAATTTCTGAAATACCTTTTGTTTCAGTGGCGCTGGTGAACTCGTGATAATGAAACTACACCTCTGTACACAACCCTAGACCTGCATTCTGGAGCATATTAGGGAAAAAAAACCCTAATTTTGAAAGTATAGAGCACAAAGGAGGAAGAAAAAAGCTGTCACTGTGCAAGCTTTCTTTACGTGTTTAGAGATATGGCTTAATTTTTATGGCTTAAAGACCGCATTTAAAAATGTCTAAAACCAGTTCAGATTCTATATGAAAAGGAAAAAGAACTGTAAAATTTTCATTAAACATTTGTTTCTTTTTTTAAGACATTCTTTTGCATATCTGTTGTTGCATTTTTAAATACGATTTGGTTGCCAAGGAAACAGGTACTGGCCCCATGTTAATTTGAAACTAAAATATAATTGAGAAGTTAAGTTCATAGGAAAGAGCTCATAATATTATTTTGAAAAGTGCCAGAATTTGGTGCTTATAGAACTACAGCTGTATGGTCTGCAATGAACCATTCTAGGGACTCAGTTTCATTTAGTGAAGCTCTGTTTCTTCTAACAGAGTCATCTATATTTAATATTTCCCCCTTTAAAAATTTTAACTCCTCATCCCCCTAAATTAAATATATACAAATAATGTATTTATTTTTGTATATTACTTAAAACTGATTTTAGAAGCAAATAAGTTTTTATTTCCATCTTTCATATAACACGTTTAAAGACCGCTTCTTAAAATTTAAATATTTAAAATATTTCTTATTAAGCTTGTTTGCGCTCTTTGAAATTATCTCCAGAAATCTATTTATTTTTAGTTTTAAGTTAAAATGCAGCAGAATCATCAGACTTTTAAGAAAATTCTTTGTTGTTTAAGGCGCCACACCTATCATATATATGATTTTTTAAAAAAGGAATCATCTCACTTTATAGCAGAATCATTTTACAAGTTTATAAAAGCTACATATTTATGTAGTATCTGAATAGAAGAGGGTATCCAATTTAATACCCTCCCCTCAAAAGATTACAACTGTCTTATTTAATTTTTATTTTAAAAAAATATTTTAATATATCTAGTGTTCTTATTGCATGGCTCAAAAAAATCTATAAAACATGCAAATTTCAACCTACCTGTGTGTATCACTTAATGCAGGGCTAGCATGACAAGACACTCAGCCATTTTTATGTAAAGCGATGGAGACCAACTGATTTCTCCGTCTTCTTGCTCACAAGTTTTAGATGCAATTGTCACACACACACAAAAATCATACGCAGCTTGAATGTACTGTGATCACGAGAACTGAATTTATCAACAGGAAAACAGGATTGAAAAAAGAAGTTTCTCATCCAAGGTTTCTCTGAGGCTGCAGCCAAGGAGGTGGTGTATTGAATTTGTTCCCATTCCTCCTCTGAGAGTTCAAAGCTCGGAGCTGACCACTGCAAAGGCCACTGTCACATTTGCTGAAAATCAAACCACTGATACCAGCACTGAAAATACAAATTTGAGAACCCAAGTTGCTTGCACACAACAGAGTGCATAAGAGTTAAAAATAGATTCCACCTTGCCTCCTACCTGCATAATAAACATGTAAGTTTCAAGTGTTTAATTTGATATTCACATTAATTAACAATACAACATACATTATTTAAAAGACAGCAAATGCAAGAAGAAAAGGGGACACCATCTGGTAGCAGAGTTTTGTTGTTGTTTTTGTTTTTAGGGTTTTATGGGGTTTTTTTGGCTTTGTTAAAAAAAAAAAGGTAAAATCATATTTTGAATGTGCTGAAAAGCAAATATCCAGAAATGAATCGGAAATGAAAGGTGATGTTGAAATAGCTAAGGCTATAATGAGGCAAAACACACTTTGCTACCAGATGATATGGCATACAGAGCATTTACATACTCACATCTGAAATACTAGGCAACGTGTAATGAATTCTATACACAGCATGCACACACAGCACAAGCACAGCTAATCCTGCCTGCCATCTTAGGCTCGCAGAGGCAAGATATGCGCTGCATGCAGCACACGAGCACTAGGGAAGGGGAGGCAAGGGACAGCTCACCTTAAATGCAGTATCTGATTAATGTTGTAAGTGACATTGCATATCAGCCTCAGAGTCTTGGTTCAACTGGGTAGGAGGGAACAAAGAAAAATGTCATCAACTGGTGATGCAAGATGAGCCCAATCACTAAACACTGTTTCGCAAACTCCAAATTCTGCAACCAGACAGTAGAAGGCATTTCGTACACTTAAGCAGAGCTGCTGCACAGAGAGTGTGTCCTTCTGCTTCTGAGAATCAAACGAGCCTTTTGCTAAGGAAGAAAATAAGCTGGAGTGAATACTGTCATGTCCTCTTCTTGAAGAAAGCTTTCAATACAGTATGTATCTGGTCTGGGATGTATTTTGTAGACTGTTAATTTCATAGATTTGCTAAAAACAAAAAACCAAAACTGTTAAGCTATTACAAAGTAAAGAATAATTCTGATAAAGGGTATAGCATTTCTAGATTATTTTTCAAAATCCTAAATGGTGCCGGCAGGCTTGTAGAAGAATGCATGATCAGCTGTCTGTATCTGTGCTGTAACCTTTAACCACGAGCAGTGTAAATGTATCCTGCTAAATGTATCTGCAGCACAGAACAGCAGATACCGCCTCAGAAAGAATTTTATTAAAATGTGAATGAATTTTCTTAAACTTAGGAGTGGAAAAAATCAGTACAGAAAGATAAATTGATGCCGAGTTACTTTGGATGTATAGCTGACCGTCATGAATGATAAAAGCTATCCTTAAGGATACTGACCTAAATAATACTAAGACTTACAGCAGCATGCTGTATGTGCCCAGAACATAAAACGCAAAATGATTTTCTTCTCCCTCCCCCTCCAAAAGCTAAATTTTAAAATAACTAGTCATTAATCGGAATACCAAAAGGCTATAGATAGTACATACTGTAAGAGAAGAAATTGTGTTGTGCTGAGATGCAATGTTTCTTTGTTTTACTTTGAGGCTTATTTTAGCTATGCTTGCACAATGACATTGACATCAGGAGGTCAGGGCTGACACTGGGTTGCTATCCATTTTATGAGTGAAATGTTTTCTGAAAATTAAATCTCATCTACTCAAATGCCAAATTTCATATCTTCTTCAACACCACCTCCCTACCCCCACTGCTCAAGATTGATGGGATCTAGTTTGGCCGTATGTAATAAATTGGAATCACCTTCTGTAGAGACTCCAATACATAAGTGTGAGGAATTAATATTTTAAATAAAAAACCTTCAAGAATTCTTATGCACTCCTGTTCATTCCTTCCATCAACACACACACGCACACACACAGAATTGAAGCTCAGATTGCAATGAAATGTTTAACATGTGGAACAAAAACTGTTGAAAGAGCTGCTTATTCAGGATTTTTAAGAAATGCCTAATAAGCAAATACTGTTTTGCTACAAAACCAGTGTCATCATGTCCCCAAAGAGGAAAACAGCATAGCTTGCTAGAAAAATTTCCTCCAGATCCGGCAGGTAAAATACAGAAAAGCATTTTATTTACCATGCTGTATAAAACAAGAAGTCTTTTATCTTTTTAAGTAAATGGAATAAATTCTTTTTCACTCTATTTCTTTAGCTACAAAGAAACCATACCCACCCACACCCTTAGATCCTGGATGTAAGCCAACGTTTTTATAAAATGCTGTGAGACTGATTTTGAATATTTAATATTTAGATTTTTCTTTTTATTTCTCCAAAAGTCGTCATTGCCTATTGCATCACTGAATATACTAATGTTAATTAATTTTAACACATGCAAAAATAAATTAATATTTTCTAGGATTGCTGGTTTTTCAGTGTCTATTTTCTTCAAGGACTGGCTAAAACTAATCAGGTTAGCAAAACATTCAAGTTCCCCAGAAATTTTTTAAAGAAGAAAATATATTCAAACATCATAACTTGGGTACCAGGTTTTACAACTGGATCTTTTGTTTCTAGCTCTCATTCTATCTTTTTCCCCAGAACATAAGTGATTTTTAGCTTAATGTGTACAAAGTATCCTGCCTACCTCTATCCATACACTTTAAAGTCTCTGAGTTGGGTTGTCCAGATGGTGGGTCATACCTGAACCACAGCGAGTCCTCTTCTCTTTGGAGCTCATCTCTCTCCCACAACTACTCCAGAAATAAATGTGGCTGTAACAAAAACAGTAGCTCCTGGTCTAACACCAATGGTGGAACCATCTTCCCCACCCCCACATCATTGCTCTATGAGCTCTGGATAGCATTGACAGCGACAGAAAATTAGAATGGAGTGTCCTTAGGCCAATTCCTCCTTTACCATGGGGGTCGAGAATTAGAGAGACTATCACACTGAGTTAAAGGTACCAGTTTAATATACGGTCATCTATAAAGCAGGGTCCTTAGAGTGGGGTTGAAGGGATTGAAGCAAACACCTAGGCATTTGATGCTCTTAGTATCTGTTGAGACATTCCCCATTAATGACATCTGAAAGCTAGACATTCATGTTCAAATACTCACAAATTAGTATTATGTAGGCTAAAGATACACAATATGGAATCAACTCTGGCCATGTAGAACTAAGTCGCTGCCTCCTCTGGGATAATAAATGACAGTGACAGCGACAGTAATCCATATCAGGCTCCCAGGAGACGAGGGAATATTGTTACATCCCCTTTACAGGGAAGGGTGGTGAATGTGGTCGGGTCCCCTACTGGTACTTATAAGCCAGATGCCAGGGCAAGTGGTTTCCAAACCACCCTGTGGAGTTCTCTGTCTACCCTCTGTCAAAATGAACCTAACAGCCATGTGTTGGTTTATTTTGTGATGTTCCAAAACACTCAGTGAGAAATGTGGTACGTTTACCAACCCTGCTTGGGTTAAACAAATATGAACTATAGCTGACAATATTCAGAGGGATGAGCTTGTTTAGGCAGACATTCTTAACTAGTAAATCCTGTTCTGTACTTTTAAAAAACCACACTTAGGCCTGAATTACTTAAGCTTTGTCATGATTACAAGTGGCAAGAGTGTGCATTCACTTATGTTTTTTAAAAAGTACGTGTCCCTCATCAACCTCCTCAGGGCATACGCACAAACGTTACTTTAAAAGAAAAGTCCCTTTTCCACAATGAAAATTTTAGCCTGTTTCTGCCATTTTGGTGAGTTAAGCACAAGGAACCCGAGATAATCTTGCAGGAGCAGGCTGTAGAAGGACAGAGCTAGCAGTGAGGGGCAAGTCTTTCACTTTGATTAACGTTCTTACTTGCTCGTGTTGGTCTCGTTTTGCAGTCTGAGCTAATTTTATTTGCAGTCCTGTGGGTTAAAGTTAAATTGCATGGAATATGTAAAGTACATAATTCAAGTGTGAACAAAGCTAACTCTCTCTGTTTTGAAAAAACATATAAAGTCAGGGCGCTGAGTCCCAGGGGAATCCTTGGTTTATAAACACTTGGATTGGTTTGCACATTTCTTTACGCCATTCACTGCATTAAAAATTACAGCTGGTTTCCTTTTACGCGTAATAGAGATGGTCAACGTTTGTGTGTAAACTTGTTATCAGGTTAGGCTATTCTAATCAAAAAAGAGAATCAACAAGACCATGTTGGGCAGTTAAGCGTAGAAAGCAGAGTACAACTTTTGGTAGGAGATTTGTCATAATTTGGAAATGTTTTATGAGTCAAAATAAGTGGAAAAATCTTACATTTCTATTTGGGCAAGGATTTCACCAAATGAAGTTCAGTTTTTCCATATTACACATGAGGAAACTGAGGCTGAAAGGTGGTGATTTGCCCAAGATCACACACTTAATAAGTGAGTTTACCCATTCCCTGTATTAAAAATTATAGCTCATTTCCTTTTACACCTAATATGTTCAGCATTTGTTAATAAATTTCTTATCAGGTTGTTGGACTGTCCTAATCTAAATTATGAAGGAAAAATCAGTGTAACCATCAAGACTGAACTGCTTTCAACTCACAAATAGTATTTTTTTTCTCCTGAACAGATAACCTAAGCAGGTATTATGAGTTCCTTCCCCAAGATATCTTTAAGAGCCTTACTTTTGAGTAAGAGATTTTCCTCAACCAAATTTAGTGTTTTAAATGTATCATTTTAATGAGTGACTCTATATGTTAACATCTGCTCATTTTCCCCCTGTCTAAGGTCCCTTACAGCTCTGAAAATTTGTGATTCTAAAACATCTAGCCCAGCTTGCTTTCTGGGTCGGGTAGGCCAAGAGCTGAACTCCACGTCTCCTCTTGAGTGCTGTATGTGGCCAGGAGACTATCTTGCTTCATTGGCAGTAATCTTATATGCCAATCAGATGGCTCTCTAAGGGGGCTTTCTAATCAACCAGCTCACCCTGCCTGGGAATATGAGAGGAGGATTATCTTGCTCAGTGTTCACCAGGCAGTAGAATGAAAGGTTGGCTGCATAGACACGCCTGAGGAGCTGAATTCCAGGGAGGCTCCTCCCGTTCTTGGACACTAGCTTTCTCACTTCCGTCCATTAGCATCTGTGTAAGATGTGGGAAAGGAGGATGCACCTAATGCAAAGATCAGGCAGCAAGCCTAGGGGACCAAATTGAGGTCACCCTCCAGGAAAGAGCTGGAAGGAGAAGGGAAATGTAAACTATGGTTTTTTGTTTGTTTGTTTTTTTCAACAAAGAAAAAGTGCTAAATGATTTAGGGCTATAAAAGAGACTGTGGTGGACAATATCCCACCCCATCCTAATTCAACTCAGACCGTCCTGTGGGAATATCCTCAACAGGCGTCACCACCATTATGGATATATCTAGCTCAGCTTTAGCAACAGAATAATTTCTGCTTTTGTTTCTCTGTGCATTTGAAACTCGGCACTGATAATGACCTTGAATGCCCAAGGAGAGATCAAGAGCGTCCCTACATCCCTAACCACATGTTCACTTGTTGCCATGACTGCTTGCCACTCACCAAATGGAGAGCAAATAAAACAACAGGGTCTCCTGGATCCTGAACTGGCAAAATACATACTCAACAAGAAAGCGAGCTGTCTTTTTTCTGAGAGACTGGCAACTAGGTAGAAAAGCGAGAAAGGGTATGTGAATGAAGTTGGAGAAAGAAGAATTCTTACAGATTCATAAAATCCACCTCATGGGAAAGCATAGTCTTCTCCTTGTATCTTTCTTCATACCGGGCAACAAATATTCCAAGACTTAACTTGGAAACAAACTTACTTTCTTTTCTGTCAGATAAAGGACTTTGCAGCTCAGAGGGGCCACAACAATGCACCTCTTCTCAGCCAGAGCAGCTTAACAAACTTCAGTGAGTCTTTACTTCCTTCGGACTAAAGATAAATGCACAATCTATTTTTGTGGTATTGGATTATCTACCTTTACCCATGTCTCTGGCTTGCCTCCTGCAAGATCTTTACACCCCCCATGGCACCTAGACATTGCCTGTTGCAGTGGAGGGGCTCATTAAGGGCGTGATCTCGACTCACATCAGCCTTGGGGGGGCCTTTCTCTACTCCCACACTATCATGGAATCTTTAGCTTTGTATCATGAAGCCACTTCCTAAAATCGGGGAACTTGCTCCAGGTGTTAAGAAATGGACCTGGGAGCTGAAAACATCTATGGAAGTCTTTCAAGGACTTAATCACTCATTTTCTGTGGGGAGCCTCAAGCTGCCTGGGAAGCAGACCACAGAGCTCTGTGTAATCCTGTCCTTCCTAGAACAGGGAAAGGGGAGACATAAATAAGAGTGGCCTGATAACACCATTACTGTCTCTAGAAAGTGCCTCAACATTTCCTTGGGCCCTCAATGGCAGAATGTGCTTCAGAGAACTGTAGGGCGGGTAGTTGCTTTAGAGAATGCCACCTAAACCCTTTCTCTGAGGGAGAAGAAAATGAGGTTTAAGGAGTAAGTGTCATATCTGAAGACCCCAGGATAGAAGCCATATTCCTTAATTTCTAGTATTCTGCTCTTGTAATTCAACGCACTGGCTCAATTAAAAAAAAAAAATCCAAGCTGTCACTTAGATAGATACTTAGTAAATGCTAAAGTAAATTGACAAATAGATGACAGAATAGAGGGTTTATGACAGGTTTCCAAATTCCTCTCAGAACAATATATTATTTTTAAAAGCTCAACTAAATGTAATTTTCAGCAAAATAGTAAATATTGGTCAAAATATCACCTGGGACCAAGTGTAACTTGGTAAGTACCAGGGAACCAGTCTTGATTGCTATATTAAGTCAATCAGACTAAGTTTAGCCAGCTGAAGTAGCCTTTATCCTATTTGGTTTGCAAAAAAATAATCTCATGAGTTAGCACGAACAGCTAAATATAAGTTGCAGGTTTCATTTTCCGTTGTTCAGTATGGTTTCGAAACCAAAAGGTGCAAAACTAGGAGATTCACCAACGCCTACAGAAAGTCAACAATTCAAATTGTCACCTTTCTAGCACTCTGTCCTGATTGTAACTCACAGCCAGGCCGAAGAAATGCACACCTCTGTCCCTCTCACCAGAGTCTCTTGAGATGAGTCCTCCCAAATAAATAAGGCATGGCAGGAACGTGGGGGCTGAAGCCAGTCCTGGAGGAACAGTGGCTTGTGAATGTATTGTCATATCCAGACAGGATGCCGCATAGGCTTTAGCCCATATGCTCAACCTCAATCTTAGGTGATGCTGGGGACCCCTTGCAGAGCAGAGGAGTAAATAAAGCTCGAGTTTTATTAAGATAGGGCTCTGGAGGTAGTGAGCGCAGTGAGTCCCCCTTGACCTAAATGCCCATGGCGTTGTGCAATTCCATACTGCAAACCCAGGCAGCTCACGATAAATCTGATTTCAAAACTGTCTTTTGAGGGCCAAGTCTGGCAAAAAGGTGTTTGACATAGGCGTAAAAGCTTCAAAGGGAGGGCAGCCATCTCACATTCAGCTGCAGCACAAGCCGGGAGAGAGCAGTGCTGTTACAGGAAAGCCCTCAGCTGAATGAGATTGAAAGGGGGCAAAGAAGGGTTAATCTCCTCCGATTGAAGGAGAAGCCATTTGGGGAAGGTGAAGAGAATAATCTGTATGAAGAGCAGGGCAGACAAAAAGCTATTCCAGAAAAGAAATTACTGTGCAGGGGCGAGAAGGATGATTTGTCCTCAATTTTAACCGTGAGACCATGTCTTAGATCTCGGAGTCTTTA